ATTTCAATCACCTTCCTGTTGTCATTTTTAAAATGTATTTCTGTTATCTTTTTGTTTGCCTGAATCATGCAATCTAGCCCATAGCACATAAGTCAAATAAGCTAAGCTAAAAGTAAGACAGTCTGGTACCAGTATGATTCTATTAGATGTGCATTTCAAATCAGATAGAAATTTTACTTTTTGGTTTTGCAAAAGCTTCACAAACTGTGCACTGCAAGCCACGCATGCTAAAATAAGGGAACTTCAGCTGTCATTGTACAATATGTAAATGTCAATCTACACGTGTGAATATTTTTTCTGTGGCTTCCCGTTCAGAACACGGGTGTGTGAATATTTTCTATGAGTGAAAATTTCAACATACGAATTCAGATTTTTGTTCTACAAGTTCTCACATCGTATTCTACAAGTTCTCAAAATCAAGTCTACAAGCTCTCGCATTTTGCAACATATTTACCTTCATAGTCTTTGCGCAAACAGGAAGTTCACAGGACATCTGGCATGTACATATCACATGAATCAAAGTCACTTTCCACCTCTTGTTTCTCTCATGTATCACCTCTGATCTCTCATGATGGCATTGCAGATGTTGCATTGATGCTGATACAGGAAGGGCACCTCTGTGGTCCTTGGCTGTAATATGTTTTACGCCAGGGTTACTGCTGCACTGGGGTATTTGGTCTTGGTAATCTATATATACATGTACTTGGGAGGATAAGCAGGTCTTTTTATTGGTATATCAGGGAGATTAAAGCTGTTATTAATGGGAAATGATTTTATTGAAGAATGCTGGAGCATTTTCTCAGTGTTGTTCAGAGATTGTTCCTCAGACGTTGTTCTTGTTATGCAGAAGCTCATAGGTGTAACAATTTGTTTTCATCTCTCTGTTTTTTTAATGTAATTTTATTTTAATCTATTTTTATTTTCACAGTCTGCTGGTTGTAGTGCTTGCAGACGATAGGAAAGCGAGAGAACATACAGCTGTAGGGAATTAATCTGACTGGATTCGTTAGTCTGCTCTGCTCCAGAAATGTATTTTCCCATTTTAAAGACAAAGTAGGAGGGTACTCAGCATCTGTGTTTCTGGAAAACAGAAATTTATGTGTGCATGATGAAAGTGTGTGTGCTGTGGCAAAATACTACACAAGAATTCTGAAAAATGGATGACTATTTTTTGTGAAAAGACCTCATTTCATTTCTGTGCACCCCGTGAAGCCTCTAGCTCGGCATGTAAAATGTCACGTCTGTTAACAGAAAATGGAGATCAGCAGAAACCATGCCAGCGCTTTCCCTGCAATCCACAGGGAACCTGACTATCAAAACCAAATCAAAGTTGATACCACAGGTATCTGCATCACTCATATGGAGACTGATTTACACACATCCGCAGACAGATCTTCTGGGAGTAAATCAGACCTGACGATGGCATGGCAACCAGTGCATGGTGGAAGCCATCACATTGGGGATGTGAGCTGAACCAATGCATCATTAGTCGTAAACAGGACGCAACCTCAGGGCTTGCAGAGCAATTAAAACTTCTACATTTTGTCAGGAGAGGCTCAATGGTGTAAGAGGTGCAGGCATTCAAAGGTATCAGAAAGGGAGAGAGAAAGACTCAAAAGCAAACAGAAACAAGACAAGTACATTTTCCCGCAGTCAGGATCTCAGCTCTTATTTGCATATGGACACAAATGCATTTGAATAATAATGTTATATGAAAAAAGTAATTACCGTGGGTCTGCACTTATCCGCCAGCCAGCTAGCGTTGGTCCTGCCGGTGGATACAGTAAGAGACCACCCAGCAGTCGGTGGCAAGTCACAGTGCCTGGATAATACTAGTCCCATCTATATCTGCGCGCTGTAGTTAATTGAGTTGTTTCGGGAAGTAGGCCCACTCCAGGGATTACCGTCTTCTTAAATGATCTCCGTTTCTTCGAAACAGGAGGTGTAATTACCTACTGCCTTCGAGGCTTCCCAAACGTTATTTTTCTCTGAGGGCTGTCAAAGGACTCAGAGTCTGATTTTGATTAATTGACAGCCCTAATTATTTTATAACGGCATTAGGGCCTTGGCTGGGGTGCACCCTATTAGTTCAGGTTTGTATAATCCGTTTGAAAATGTTTAAATATGTGAGTGTAATTTATCACCTCAGCCTTCTATTAATTTCTTGTTTGACTCATTTTTAGGATAATTTAGTAGTCTTGTATCCATGGGTGAATTTGGAAGACTTAACACTTACAAACATAACTCTGAGTTTGTAAATTCTACTGTAGAACACCAGTGCATCTTACACATCAACAACTTCTTGTTTCCTCTGCTGTATGTTTACTTCACAGAATGAACATAAAGAGAATGTATTAATTTGGCAGGCAAGCAGTTTTGACCTTTTGTGACATTTTGTTTTGCATTTGTATAAGTTCCTCGTAACAATTTCACTTACCCAAGGCAGTGCAAATTATTTCTATCCTACCTCTTTAGGTGACATGTTTGGTTTTATTCCAAATCATTTGATGCTGTTGATGTCATTCAAGCATAGTCTAAATTAATTTAAATGTTGACATTATTAGTGTGCTGCTCCAAGAGGGCTCTGAGGTGTGTCATAGGGTTATTTGAGGTCTTTATTGGCCTCTACGCCTGCTAACCTCTGTGAACTCCACAGTTGTGTTATATGTGGTTTGAAATCAGCCCCACTTTTCCAGGTAATATTGCTTCTTCTACCTGCTTTCCATATGAGGGAAACATCTGTCCCTGGATTGTAAGCAATGAAATAAACTTTATAATAAACATAATTCATTCCTTTATTATGGGTGATCAGAACTCTCCCATTCAAAGGGTGATGGTTTGTTCAGCTTGGGCTGGGTTCTGTAGACTCACTTTTTCCGTCCCTGTTCACAGCGCACTACTGCTAGGGGGAAATCCCGCCTGTCTCTGTACCTGGATGACAGAATGATGTCAGACTCTGCCCTCCTTAGTCTGTGAAATTGCCTCTCAAATCACAGCAGCGTCATTTTCTGGCCAGATACTCACTTCATCTGAGAGCGCACACAAAGCCGATTAAATATTGAAGCTTGCATTCAGCGAAAGGAATCATATCCCCTCTTTGATTTATGTCTCTTAACACCCCCTTCTCTCTGCATGGATAACCACTCCTCAGCAGAGCCCAAATTTTGCTCATTGCTACATGAGATGAGCATGAGATGCTGTATTCATAATTGGAAGACTGTTTCATATCCCTGCTGATGTATCCCAGACCTCACCTTCCTTTCTGTGGTCAATATGTCACCATATAAACAGATAATAGGAAATATTTTGGGTACCTACTAAGCAATCAAATCATATCAAGAGTGTGCAGTCACATTTAAAAACAAACTTGTAGCATAGCTATGTTATTTTAAATCAGCGTGAATATTCAGTTTTCCATTGTAAGATCCCAGACTGATTTTGGGAGCACCAAAGTGACTCAGGGGTTACTTTTGTGTAGGTTTTTCCATTATACATATGCACACACACACACACGTACACAAGAAATAATCAGACTTCTTCACTTGTTGCAGTTTGTTGTGTTATAGACTTCTGTCTAAAATGGAGTAAAAGTTTGGCATTCAATCTACACACAATAATCCATAACCACAAAGCAAAAACATTTTTTGAATTACTGCAAATTTAGTAAAAATGAATAACAGGATTATCTCATTTACATAAGTATTCAGACATGCTTTGTAGAAGCACCTTTGGCAACAATCACAGCTTTGAGCCTTCTTTGGCACTACTCTACAAGCTTTATGCACCTGGATTTGGGCAGTTTCTCCCATTCTTCCTGGCAGATTGTCTCAAGCTAAGTCAGAATGGATGGGCAGTGTCTTTGAACTGCCATCTTCAGGTCTCTCCACAGATGTTCAATGGGGTTCAAGTCTGGCCACTCAAGGACATTCTGAAGCTTCTCCCGAATCCACTCTAGTATTGTCTTGGCTGTATGCTTTGGGTTAATGTCATGCTGAAAGGTGAACCGTCACCCCAGTTGGAGGTTGTGTGCACTCTGGAGCAGGTTTTCTTCAAGGACCTCTCTGCATTTGGCTGCATTCATCCTTCCCTCATTTTTGACCAGTCTCCCCGTCTCTGCCGCTGAGAGATATATATATGTATCTGACTGGATTTGTTATTCTGCGCACACTATATGATTTTATTTTGACCATCTCTGACACTTGGGCCTTGGAGGACTCACCGCCCCTCCATTACGTAAGACAGCCTTTAGTTCTAGCCCTCCTTCCTTCTTATGTCACAATAGGTCTTATTGCCTCTCAAGGCACTCTTTGAGAGAAGATCACTAGCCTGGTCTCCACTCCACTTCACAGTACTGAATACTGGAAGGGCAAGCAATTAGTGAAGTGTTTGGGCAAAAGAAAAAGGACTCAGTAAGCCAGGCTCTGGTGGTAGAATGTTAACAAACTCCTTGCTTCTGGGGGTATTTCATTTAAATGCAATGTATCCAAATTCAAATCCATCCATATCCTTCAAAGGCAGAGATTTCAGTCTTGTGCATTTTGATGGATGGTGCTCACTTCATTTAAAAAAAAAAAAGCAGCCAGCTGCCAGCAACTCCTTTTTTCACACAGGGCTTCACAGGTTTGCTTTCAATACTGAAAATTACTGGTAAAAACAGGTTAGTGGACTGGTCATGAATTAGTTGGAGGCAGTTCTTCAGATTCTTACTCATAGTTTAATTTATCCTCACCCATAAGGTTGAGATGGTGAATCAGCTCATTTCATTTATTTCATTATTGGCATTTAGCATATGCTCTTTCCAGATTGACTTACATAGGTTACAGTTTTTACATGTTATCCATTCATACAGCTGGATATTTACTGAGGTAATGCTAGGTTAAGTACCTTGCCCAAGGGTACAGCAGTGGTGCCCCAGCGTGGAATCAAACCAGCAACCTTTCAGTTATGAGCCCTGCTTCCTACCAGTGTGCTACACAGCCACCCAATACAATTAAAGTGCATGCATTGGCCTGGAATTGAACCCGGGTCAATTGCTTGGAAGGCAGCTATGCTTGCCACTTTACCACCAATGCTGACAACACCTCACTTGAATTGCCCCCTTAGATTTGGATTGTCATGCTGTATACATGGATAATATACACACACATAACACATAAATCATGTGTTTTAATCTGGTTGCTTCCTGGTGCTGACAAGTCAGGGTTCTCCTGGTGAATCTTAGTTGTTACCATTTCAGCTCATCTCCATCAGACTTTTCCCCATTTTATCCAAATCCCACAGGACCAAGTGTGGGGGGAATCTGAAAATGGTCTTTGTCAAAGTGATTTCACATAAGATGAAACACATACAGGAATAATTCTCCCAGATCTTTGCCTCCAGATTCTCGCTTTAGTCTAGTTAGGTATTTTTCCTATTCAGAGCATTTTGTTGTTCAGAACTGATCCCTTGACTGTACAGGAGATTTGTTTGTTCTCTTGGTCGTTTGCCTGTTTGTTTTCGTTTTCTTTATTTCAGGCATTTTGATCTCAGCAGATTTTTCTTTGATTAGTCAAAGTGATCTAATTAAGAGATTTAGGGGAGTGGGACTTGCCTTCTGTTTCTGATGGTTTTCTGGCAAGAATGAAGGTCTACTATGAGGTGTCCCAGTTGTGCAGACTATTTAATGTGAATGTCAAGTGATGATGTTAGACCTTAGACCCTCAGTTTTTGTATATATTAGCATTTATTAAACAGAGGATTGAAAAGTAATGCTTCAGATAAACTATGGGAAAACTACTGTTGAATTAAAGATATTAATGTAGACTATTGAGGAATGAAGAACAGTAGATTTCTTAAAATGGGTTTGGCATGCTTTCTTCCAGAACTGTAAACGATAACATTACGAAGCAGCATAGGTGTGTGTGTGTGTGTGTGTGTGTGTGTGCGCGTATCTTTTTTATTTTCCCCATTTTACCCATTTCTCTTTCACCCATTTTGAAAACCTCTGCCCATACTTTGATTGCCTTGTCTTTCTCTACGCCCTCTCAATAGTAGCAGGGACAATAAAATAACACCGCCAGGGTCATGATATCAACAACCTAAATTTTCACCAGGTGATAGATACGATGCCCTCCCCAATCTGAAATTTAAATCTTAATAGGATTTTTTCTCTTTAGGGGATAATAAATTGTCAACTGTTTGCCTGAACTGCAAATCTGTTCTGAACAAGCAGCAGCAATGTCAGCAGAGCCGTGTTTCCTGCATGAAATTGGGAATGTGCTGATTTTACAAGTGGCTGTAACAGACCAGACCACAATAACAGCATCTGCCATAGCCCTGCTATCATTCAGTGGTTCTATATTCTTGGAAGGTCTCTGACACAGTTTTTAAGCCTTTACACTTCTGCTCAGGCAAATCCTTCTGTTTGCTCCACCTTGGGGATGTAATTTTGATATTTGATACTCAGCATTCACACGTTGGCAGCAAGCTATTTTTAGATTCCCGTCACTTTCACTCCAATTACACTAAAGCCATCCAATTTACTCCTGCCAGGCCTCTAATATTAAGGAGTCCAGTGATCTATGTTTTTTTTGACTTACCAATATGTTATGGTTGCCATTTTTGTAACCCAAAATAATTCCAGACAAACACTCATTCCTAGCTCATGACTTCATCTGCACCCTGGCCTGATGGATAGAAAGACTGTTCTTCAGCATCAGGCTGGTAGGGAGTCTGGATGTGGGGGCAAAACAACTGAATTCCATCTCAGACAGGAAAACTCCCAGCCCGTTGCCATGGCATCATCGCATCTGACACATCTCAGTTACTCTGTCTCTCCATCGCTCGCTAGGAGCCCAGCCTGTGCTTTTCTATCCGGGATGCTGTTTCACATGGCAGTCTCATGGATTAAGCCCACCACCCACATGTCTACCCCCCACCTCCCCACCACACACACACACACACGCACACGAACACGCACACACGAACACACACACACATACGTACATACACACGCACACATGCACCCGGGGGCACTGTCTGCACAGAGGGGCACGGCTGAAGAATCTCAGCGTGCGCTCTCTTTATACCCATCTCTGAGGGAAACCAGAGCAGGGCTTCGTGGGAGTATGTCAGGTGGGGAGTGTTGTTAGGGCCCGATCGTCAGAACTCGTGCCGGTGGCGGTCCTGTAAATGTTAATGTAAACAGCACTCCTTGAATGCCGACAGCTGCCGGAGCATAGCGGGGGAGCCGACGAGCCACAAGCGCCTCAAGCCCTGACGACAAGGGCGGGGCTGCCAACTGCTCTCTCAGGGCGAGTGGTTTCAAATGAGTCCAATTAGAGAGGAGAGAAACCTGGGGCCAAACTTTAATGCAGCTGCCCTCTGACCAGAGTCTGCAAAAACTTCTCTGAGTAATACAGGTCAACACGTAAGAGAAGAGCTCAACTTCCCAGATCGATATGCTGCTTATTTTCTTCACTGAAAATGGGCCTTTGTTCACTGAAGTGTTTTTCAGTTGCACTGCCAACAGCAGAAGCAAAAAATATGTAATTTACTGATATATTTTTGGGGCTGAATGTTGTGAACATCACACTTGTCTGTTAGGAAAGTTAGAAATTTGAAATTAGAAATGTGAGAAAAAAACTTTTCTTTCTCTGTAAGGGTTTCCCTTTCACTTTGCCATAATTGTCACAAAGCTACAGTATATCACACCAGTTGGTCAAGCTGATGAAAGCATGCAGATGGTGAATGTAAAAGACTGCTACCCAATTTTGGCTTGGACTGTGCTGAATAGCCTAACAGCCCAGTCTCCTTGGAGTGAATATGCTATTTAGTCATTAGGCCCTTTTGAAGAGAACAATTACTGACCTACCTTTGGAGGACCTGGCACTGAGGCGCAGACAGCTGCCAGGCCATCAGTAGATAATGGCTTTCTACAGAGGAAAGGCAGCTGGACTGGGGATGGGGCCAGGGAAGCACCGAATCTCAGCAGATGTTTACAGCACAGCAGAGGGGTATCCCATAATCCCTTGTATCATGAGAAGCTGGCAAGAGGTTCACGTGGTGCATAGTATACCTACTGTGAAATGACATGTTGATAAATTATTTGTATGGCTCTCATGCATCCTGTCTACAATGTCAGACATTGTGTGTGTGTGTGTGTGTGTGTGTGTATGTGTGTGTGTGTCTGCTAAATTCCAATAATGTAATGTGTGCTGCATAATGACAAGGACTAATTATTTGTGTGTATAATCTATGCTTGCAGGTCTGCATTTTGCTTACACATTCACATTTTTCAAGTGCCTCTGTGATTTTATGATATCACTTTTTTAAGAAGTGCTTGTATAAGTGAAGGCAATTAGAGGCCAACTATTGTCTTTTTTCAGAAACTCATGAATGATTCAAATGATAAATGCTATAGATACTGCCCCATTTAGCCCTGCAGTATTTTAATGGTATTTTGGTATTGTGGTGCCAATAGGCCTACGGCAGAGTAAGGCCTGGCCTTTTTCTGGGGTTTCCTACTTAAGAAAAAAGGTGCTGCTTGAGGTCCGAATCTTCCAAAATGTGCCTTAAATTTGAGAACAGCTCTGTAACTTTAACTGTGATGAAGAATATTTACTAATGATGCATAACCTCCTTTTACACCCAGCATTAACACAGATGTTGAAACCTTTTCTAAGGTTTCAAAAACTTGTCCTTTGAATGTCCACATAATAGAATGTTGAAGAAAGGTTGATTATATTCTTAGAGATGCATTAGTAATCATTTTGTGTACTGGTCATGAATCACAGTGCATTTGAATTTCACCTGACCTTTCAGCTAAATATTGAATCACTGTTGATTAAACAGGATTAAATCAAGGAATTTAAATCATGTGAACTCAGAGGTACTGGGTCACATTGATCAGGCCCTGATTATCTGCACACAACAGAGAGCACTGCTATCAGGGTGACTAATAATGCGAAGGCACAGTTCTGCATTGTGCCAATGCTTGTCACTTGCTTAAAGCGTCTGCTGTTCAGCCAGTGCCCACAGCTTCTTGGCCTGCTTACACTCTAGTGATGCTTTCTGAGGTCCATCTTATGATTATTGATGCAGTTACCACTTGCCCTGTGACCTGGGCAAGGCCATGCCATTCTACAGTCATTTACAGGGATATTTTTGGAGTGGGCTCTAATGAAGATACACAATTTGAATAGGTCCCATTATTTCTCACACTCTGCATCATCCACAGTGCATTGCCATGTTGCTGAATGAGGATGCTGCAAAGAGAGGAAGAGGCCATTTCTTATTTCTCTGCTGGGATTTTCTGTGTTTTGTCTGTATTATAGGCCTTAACTATATATTTATTGGCTGGAAATGGCTTTAACCTTCATGTGTTTCATGACAAGTTTAATAACTACAGAATTTTAGCTACTGTGGCAAAGTTTCTGACACATACTACTACAACATGTAGTCACTCACATGCTGTTTCCTGGAACACTTAACTACAACGTAAAGAATAGCAGGAGTACATTCTATTTTCCAACACATTCCGTATATCATGGCTTATAATCAAGATCCAGATTTTTTGTCTCCCACAAATATGACTAATATGACAAATGAGTCAATAATCTATTGTCAACTTTATCCATAATGTTAAAATTAAACTTATACTTAATTTTAATTAGTGCTTATGACCAAAAATTCGTATCACAGTATTTTTTAAGATTCTGGCGGTTTCACGGTATTTTTTTTTTTTTCCCCATGACTGGGCCTTTATATAAATTTGTGGCTTATTCTACTGTCAGGTGTACATAGACTATAAAAAATTTAATTTCATCATGTATATAATGAAGGCTTTGATTACTATAGGGTTTGCTTGGCCCCACAAAATGACACAATATATGAAGGAATCAGTATGCATGAAACAGTTGCAGAATGTAAACAATTTTTATTGTGCAAACTGCAACGTAGTAAAAACAGAACTTAAAAAAATAGATATGCCAACAACTTTAACATTGCTTCCTTTTCAAAACAAAATATTTTAAGATAGTTCTATAAACTATAACTATAATAATTTATAAACTATAATAATTTAAATCGATAA